GGAGGGGGAGTATAGGGGAGGGGCGGCGGCGGCGGCGGCGGCGGCGGAGGCAGCAGAAAGGCTGAGGGTGGGGGCGGGGCGACAGGCGACGCAGAAGACGATGTGACAGTAAAAGCAGTACAGGCGGCTAAAGGAAAACACGGGTACGATAATAGTGTTGTTGCGCGGAGCGACCCGCAGCGGAGCGGCCAACTCTCTTCCGCCTTCCGCCGCCGGATACCGGACTTCGAATCCCGATCATACCATTTACACTTTGTGAGGGACGAAACGTCCTCTCATTCTCCCGTTTTTCAATTTTTCCAATTTATTGTAGTTTCACCATTACTATCGTCGCATAGAAACATTTAACGTTTCAATGATTGCGAAAACGCTTCTGCAAGTTTCATTATAAATTCTTTCAAAATGAAGGGTTTCTATCCTTGTAGACATATTCGTTCTGCCATAAGTCTTACATCAGAGATCGTTCTGTGCGGAGGCACAGCTCAGAGGCTATCAATTCTATTGCGCAGATTGAATATCGAAATTCCTTTAGTTCTCCATTACATAAATACAGTTATTTTATCGCTTGCTTACTTTACCGTTTTGCGCTGCTATACTTTTTACTTCATAAATAATAACATTAGTATCTCAAAAGAAATATACTAACCTTCAATGTTAAAAACTTAGATTCCTGAACATTTTCAGATACTCAGATAAACATTATTTCAGAATCTACTGGGTAATTGATGAATAAATCTGACAGTTTTATGGAATTTTTAGAACTGTTTGAATTTTGACTATCCCATGTCACGAATAAATATAATGGACTGAGAACGCACATTTGCTACTCTTCAAGTTAAAATAGTTTCATATAAATAGTTTTCTACAATTCATCAAAGAACTAATTGTTCGTCATTATGATTTTCTCATATGGTCTGATTTAATTATCTTCATAGAATTACGTTTCGTGAAATTCGGAAAAAAATTACAATAATAGAAGAGCGTATCCGATAAAGTCAAATGCATTTGTCAAACAAAAGGCCCAAAATAAAATAATAAAATTTCATGACGAAATATGAATAACTAAATACGATTAACTAACGAAAACCAGTACGCGGAATTTTGTAGAACAATGACAAAATATTTTTTAAAAATTAACTTACAATTTTGATTAAAAAAGGTTTAAAAAAGAGTCTGCATAAATTAACTTTAGAGGATCACAGCTTTATTTTCTAATTCTGAATTCCAAAGCAAGCAAGGTGACTAAAATAAAATTTAGAGTAATATATTATCAGGTTTTCCAATATTCGGCGAATATTTGAATTAAAAATTAAAAATAGTTCGTGTAAATTCAACTTTCCAAAAGCTCATCTTAATAAATATTATTAAAAATTACCTTTAAAAATTGAAGGTAAAACATTGTATTTGATAGATGTGAATTTAAAAGATAGAAATATTTCACATTTTTTGAAGAAAAACAAATTGGGTAGATTTGGGAATAATCTGTCCGTTAAATTGAATAAGACTCGTTAGAAGTTTCTTACTTGGAATAAGTGTGCTTGTTAACATTATACTTAAGATTCAAACCATATTTCTTGTAAAGTATATAAATGTAGTTACAAACGAATAAATGGTATGTTCTAAAGGTTATCAAGAAAAGATGTTCACACGTTTCATCATAAATGCTGTTTTCGTGAAAACAGAATCCTATCGAAGAATAAAGTACGGAAAGGCCCTTGAAGTTTGAAGGGCAATGCCAAAAGTTGGAAAGGGCAACGGGGCTGAGACGACTGCAAAGAAGAGCCCATACGGAACTGTGTCTGGAAGAATAGGGGTGCGGGTAGAACCTTCAGCAGTTACGTATAAACGAGACCAACCCAACATTATTTTCGCTCCCTTAATAATGATAATAATAGTCTCAAAGTTTATTGATATATTTTGAAAATTAAGAGTACTGGATTATTATTTGAAGACGAATATTCACTCTTTCCATCCCGAAATACATATAACAAATATTCGGCATTAAAAACTGAAACGCAGAGAGAGAGAATAAAATAAATTGTAAGTAGTTGGGCAAAAAGTTGCCGATAAGGCAAATGTCCTCGTTTGAAAACACGTATATTGGCTTTCCAATACCAATAAACAATGTCGAGAAAAAGTAGCCATTTAAATACTTGGCAAATAAAAACCACGCGAATCCGCCGATCGGCTGTTCCATTAATACTAGCCGCGAACCAATATTTAGCTTCCATGTTATGTCAGGCGAGGTCGCATGCAGATTCCCTCAGGGCAACGTAAGCGGTGGCGGTGGAGAGCTTATCCTACGGCGCGACAACAACGCTCTGTGGTTCGACGTCAAGTACCGTAGAGGGATTTACGCACCTGTGTTTCAGAAGTGCAATTCAACGGGGAGCCCAACGTGGTTCTGTATGGAGCCGGATGGTGTTACTCGGTGTTTGTTTTTACAACGAAACCCGAGGTTATTCAGTTACGGGTAGGGAAGTACTAATGCCTGTTCACATTTCTTAGAACTTAAGCGCGAATAGAAAATTTGGATGCTTACTTCGTATTTAAAAAAATCCGTCAATTCTTTTTCGGTGTTTGGCACGCTTTAGGTTGTTTTACACCCAACTGCAGTTTAATATTATACTATTAAACACTTGAGACCACGTTTAAGCAATTTTACAGTACGCATAAATAAAATATATTCATTCACTTTTCCCGACGTAATCTCACAATCACAAGACAGTGTCACCCTTTCCTAAAAATTCACATTTTTTAAAAAATTTTAATTACATTTTTTTCAAAACACAGCATGAATTTTCATTCCCCATAAGAGGTCTAAAATCAGTTGGGAGCTGCAATGAAAAGGGACAATTTCCAAATTGATTGAATGTCAATTCGAATTCCAAAAGCAGTCACAAAAGTGCCCGCAGCGCACGCAGCCCGCTCGCAGAATCTGAAGCGGATTGACATCAACGCCGCACTCGCGCTGCCTACGTTACGCACCTGAGTTTCAGCAGCGGCGGCGGCGGCGGCGGCGGCGGCGGCGCGAACGCGGCGGCCTCGGCGGCGGTGCGCCGGCCGGAGCGGCCTCAGAGCGCGGCGCGGGCTAGGGCGGGGTTGGAGCGGGGCGAGCGGGCGGAGCGGGCGGAGCGGGCGGAGCGGGGCGGGGCGGAGCGGAGCGGAGGCGCGCCACGTGGCGTGGCGGGACAGGCGGGCAGGGCAAGGGCGAGGGCGGTGCGACCGCTCCACGCTCGCCAAGCAGAGCGCGCCGGAGGCAACCTGCGCTCGTCGCGAGGCGCGTTCAGCTGAGTTCCGCGCAGACTGCGGCAACCCGTGACGTGGCGCTATCCGCCGCCGCCGCCGCCCGCGCCCTGCCCCTCCCTGCCCTTCCTCCCGCCCCGCCCCGCCCGCCCTGATCCGTCCCCGGCCTGCCGCCCGCCCTCCGCTCGGACCCCACCCCCGCTGCGTTATTGACCCACCGGTGGCGGCGGTGGCGGCGGTGGCGGCGGCGCGGCAGGGCGGCTCCGACGGGGCGGAACCGGCGGGGATGGCGGCCGCACCGCCACCACCCCACCGCCGCCACCGCCCACCGCGCCCTCGCAAACAGGAAGGCGGGAACGCAACAGGAAGAAGGTAAAAGGCCTGCGCTCACTGGCCCCAGGCCAAATAATGGATTTCTGCGCTTCCTCGGCCGATCCTCAAGGACGGCTCGAGGCGATATGCGGGCAGGAGGAGGGCGGCGAAGTTGCGGCGGCGGAGAGCGGCACAAGAGAAACTTCTGCGGACATCGGCAGCGCCACGGTGGCCTCGGAACGGGAGCAGAGGGGTCAACGGTGACGAGGACGAGGCGTCGGCGGCGGCGTGGGGGACTGTGCGAGCGCCGGAAGAAGGACACGAAGGCGCCGGGGAAACGGGGAGGCTGGCGAGGTCTAGGAGGGGTGTGTGGAAAGGGAGGCGGGGAGGTTTTGGGGGCCCGGGGGGGGGGAGGGACGAAGAACCTTCGCGCAACTTGCTCCGACAGTTGCTGCGAGTTGCCCTGTGGCTCCAATATGGCGGACACGTCGCGACGACGAAAGCGAGGGAGGGAGAGCAGGGCGGAGGGAAGGAAAGGTTGGAGCAGGCTCCTGAAGGTGGAGCACACGAATAAGCGAGCCGCGCCGCAGCAAGAATCTTGAAATGTTTTTTTAAAAAAAAAGGAAAAACTGCGAGTGAAAGAGTTGGATGTGACATCACGTTGCGTTCACAAAAATATTTTTTTGTTACCCGGCATTCCATTAGATCAGGATTTCCCCAACGTTTTTGTACCGCGACCCCGTCTGTTAATATGAAAACTCCCATGCCCCCTTGTTCATTTTTATTTGGTAATGAATTAAAGAAGAGTTACATTGATTAAGAAGACATTTATTTTTTTACTCTTTACAATTTTACAAGTTCAATATGTTTGTACCTATTGTTGAAATGTTCGTTTTTTTATGTTAGGTCAAGAAAATGGAGGACGATTAATGCCTATCAGATTTATTTATGGCTAATTGATATTACTGATTGTAATTTAAAATAAACAAATGCGAAGCACGAAATATCAGTGAGAAGCAAGAGCTAACATTTTTCCCCTATCCTTAGATAGATTCCCTATCCTTGGATAAGTATCAGAAAGTGCACAATATAAATGTCATTGTCTGTGTCCGTCTGTAGCAATGTCTTAGAGCACTTTCTGTCTTTAGCAATGTCAAGTTTTCCCCGATACTTTGTTTTAATTACAAGTGCTGAAAATGCTTCACCGCACAAATACGTGCTTGGACAAAGTACACTTCCAATATTTAACCCCAAAACGATGATATGTCCATTTTAATAAATTCGTACTAGGGAAGCAGACTCATTTTTTTATGTTTAAGCAGCCGGTCCGGATGGCCGAGATCACTAAGGCAGTAGTGCCGAAGCAATCTTGGACCGAAGGATCGCGGGATCGAGTCCCGCCTCGGGTATAGTTGTATTGTGTTCGTCCTTTCACTCCCTTTCATCATCATGTCGTGTCATCCTCAGAGTTACCGTACCGTTACTCGCAATAGTGGTCGCTAATGACATAGAAGTTGATGCGACCTTAAGTAACAAAAAAATTCTAAAGCCCTTCGAAGTGCTTCGAAGTGACGTTGAAGTGCTTCGGACAGGGTGTCTATGTTGTCATTGAAAGTGTCCGTTATTAATCTGTAAATGTCATCACAAGTGTTAGGAAAGTATCTGTTAAATTCTTCCATGAAGTGGTCCTAATTATTTTATATTTGATTTTTTATATATAAGCTCCTTCGAAAACTTACTCGAAGCGTGTCCTCAGAGACTGACACGAGTATGGTAATACATGAATAACTTCAAGGGTGTGCCAAAATCTTACTCTTCCACAGTAGCAGTTTTTCAATATATGTTTTGATGGCATCACGATATGTAATTATATTTGGCTCTCCACTCTGCAATTTTAGGCTATGGTTGTTCAACGAGCCAAAGAAATCAGACAAGTAAGCCAACATTACTTGAACAGTAGTTGTTGTTTTTTTCAATCTTAGTTCGATATGTTTTTGATTTTCCAAAATAGTAATTACTTCATGTGGGAACACAAATAACATTGCCACATAGCTTGACAGCCAGCGTACTTCCGTTTAAAATATCAGAGTTTTGTGTTCAATTCCAAAAACTTCGCAAAGAGTTTTAAAAAGTCGAGTATTTTAAGCGTTATTTTTGATGTAATTAACCAATTAATACATATTTTTAAGGCACCATGGAGTTTGTTTGGAAGACTTGGTGGTGTATGAAACAATAAATCGCAGGCACATCAGCATTTTTCTTTTCTATCAATTACATAAAGCTTGAGTGAGCAACAAGCATTGAAGGAGCGCCAATTAAATTACACAAATTAATTTTCCCCAAATTGAATGTTTATATTCGTTCAAAAATCTGAGACTGCTTCACATCAACAGCCTTTGTAGTTGTTGCCAACTTTGTAGAAAACAATAAATTTGTGATAATCTGTTTCTACTACCTGTTCCAAAAACAATAACACCTGCCTTCAAAAGGCATGGTTTAACAAGAGCCTCATCAATTAGAGGACTTTTCTTTTACCTAGCACTAAGAAGTGATAGATCATATACTTCAAGCCTTTTTTCAGGTAACTGAGCAACAGATCCATTACTATCTCACTTCATTCGTTTGAAATTTTCAGACTTTGCAGGAAAATCGTCCTTGGGTCTGTCATTAACAGAATCATGTTTCGTTGACAAATGTCGTTCAAGATGACTAGGCCAATGGCATCATTGCTCGATACCACATAGCAAATGACACACCGAGGATGTTCGACGCCATCCTTAAGCATGCAAATAAACCCATATTTAATATAATCATTGTTACACTTGCTAAGCTCAACGTGAACGAAATCTTGTCACAAATCACACAATGTAATTATGACAATATAATCCAAACACTAACAGGAGATTGAACACGAAAAATTAAGCCGGAACGAATATCTCCATTGGATAACCGCAACAAGCTGATCTATTGCAAGAACTCAACATATTTTAACCACAGTTTAGCGCGTAATGGGCTTCAAACTATATAAACGCTTTTACAAGGCAAGTAATAAAACTGGTATAACAACATTCCTGACCATGACACTATGTTGAAATTCATCACGTGCTGGATTATCAACACTCATGTCCGTGACAGAGTATGATTCATCCTGCACCTCAAAAATTAGTTTTTTCACAGAAAAATACTTTATCTACACAATTTACTACTATCTACTCTAAATTATGATACAGAGCGAATGTGTAAGTGCTTACAAATGTAATCTGCAGAATATAGATATATTTGCCTATCAAAATTATATGCGGTCAAAACCAACATACTCATTGCTAATTTTAAAATTTACGCAGCTGTGTCATATTACAACCTACGAAGAAGTTCGCATTATTTTCCATCTAACTCAATTACTGATTCTGATCTTTAATAGTATTTGAGATGTTTGTGAGGAAGATGGATAGCAATATTTTCACTTGATTCTTACGAGCACTGCCCTCTGGTGAGGATATTTGATTGTATCCCCTGGTGTTCATAGTCCGGGAGTATGTCAAGGGATAGAAAAGATATTGAAAATTGTATTTTTACACCTCTTTTAAATAGCTTCATTCTCTTACTGATCAAAAGTGGTCTGTTTCAAACACTTTACTGTGCTTTTGCCAATTAGTAAACGTTTCCTAGAAGAGCTGTTTACTGCTGAAACAGCACTTTGGAAAAAATTTTGCGTTTTTGCATTGATAATAATTAATTGCTAGTTGACCCTTTGCTATTACATTGCCAAAAAGGACTGTAAAATAGTTGCAATGGAAAAATTTAACATATGCACTATAAGCAAAATATAAAATTCAATATTATTATTTCCCTTCGTTCAGTTCTTATTTTCCAAGACTAATGAAATGATGAGAAAGGTTTACAAATTCTGTAACTCCATCTATTCACAGTGATGACAGAATTAAACATGTTTCTGAAAATGCAATCGACATATTTTATATTTACCCATATCTGCACATGTATATTGCAGTGGGCAATAGCAGAGAATTCTGCTACTGACCATGACTTAAAAATTTAAGGGATTACATAATTATAAACACTAATTTTTTTCTAAGGGTCATAAGCGTCAAACGATTCCAGGACGTTATGTTTATACACACTCAATAATCGCTGCATTTAAAGCCAAATCGAACTGAAAAAGATCTCTACCATCCTTTCCCTTGCCATATCCTCAAGGAACGTCGAAGGCTTTTGAGTGATCAATGGCAGCTCGCACAACAATGGCCAAGACCACCTACCTTGCAACTACACAAATTACTTGGTCTTGAATCCGATGTAATAACAAATAGCGGGAGATTAGTGTTCATTCCATTAATTTTAAGATAATATTAAAATTTAGTATTATTTACTATTCGGTTAAATTTGGTGCAATTTAATTAACAAGAACAACTGATAGCATTCGTAGGGACCCTACCTTACA